GACGACCGACGACCGACGACCGACGACCGACGACCGACGACCGACGATCGACGACCGACGACCGACGACAGACGTACAAATTACTTGAGTGACCTAGCGAACACTTTCGAACGTATTGTAAAGTGTTTATCGTCGATATATTCCCTGACGAAGGTTTAGGGCCACAATGAGAATTGATCAAAATTAAATATTATGCAAAAATTGCGTATTAAGTAATAAATAATTTTATTTACTCCTTAGTTAGGCGATAATCTAACGATTGTATTTCATTACGAAATAATGAAAAATAGTCCCTTGTAAAAGTACATCAATTATACCTTAAAGCAAAGAATTACACCAACAAACTATTTATGCGTGCCAACTTTCTTTCATTTCCGTTTTACCATCACATACATTGAACAAACATGATAACTGATACAACAATCATGGTGGTTCGTATCCGTATGTCGAATGAACTAGCACCAATGATCTAGTTAGGATCGTTGTCTCTCACTTGATGAATCCTTTACCAATGCTTTCTCTATTTACTATTTACTTAGTCTTTATATATATTTTACAGCTTTGTGACGACATGAAATCTTTTCGAGAATTTATATTTCAGGTTGGCGTAAAATTACTGTAATAGTAATTGCTTAGATATAAAGTATATATAACATAAAATAATATTTAATTATAATCGTTAAAATGCGCGTTTGCCCTACAACTTTTATTGACTCTTGATATCTTTCTCATTTGCGCTTGTTCCTTGACGTATGTGTGGACATTAGATTAGTGAAGTGATCATAGTAACACATTCGGTCCTCCACTTATTCATTCACTCACAATATTCGTTCTTTCATCAATTTGCATTGGTGTTGGTATGTATAATAATTTCATAATATCTACACACATTATTTGTATCTGTGTGAGTGCATCTGTCAGTCAAACATTCATTTGTGATTGTGATTTGTGATTACAAAGCGAAATTTGCGAATACTAGATCGTGTCGCCAACAAACAAATCGCATAAATTCCTTTGTGTCTAAGTTAACATTTGCCCAATTTTGCTTCGAGGTGAGTTGGTATTACTTCTTTACATACAATGATTTATAATACTTACTACCTAACTATTTCGAATTTGATTAGGTTCGTTCTCGTCTTTTAAATCTCTATTAAATGAGCATCTGCATGTCCATAATGAAGTTTGTTCAGTATTTTCTTTACTTATTCAACTGTGATGTGATCGAGCACAGTAGGGCCGAAAGTTGAAAAACAATTGACGTCAAACTTAATTCCATTTTACAAAACACTATCAACACATAAATGACATTTAATGGGTACAGTCAACAAGTCGCTGATCAGCTAGATATATTCATGTCTACTTTAAACATTTCACCTGCAACCATTTATTTGCTTTTTACAATTTTATTTACTTTCAGTAATAAACAAAAATCTAGAAAATTGGCTTCTTTTGACACTGACAACTAAAATTAATTTTTTTATAGAAATAATAATAATTTTATAGCAATTACTGTTCACAAAATTAACTATAAAAGCCACCATTGCAGTTCTAAGTGTTAATTGATAAAGAAAGATGTCACCTTAGAAAAGGATATCACATTATGAGGACAGGGAAAAGTCAATGTTGTGCATTGTACAACACAAAAAAGGTGGCCCTAAAAAGGCTCAAGATCATAAGCACTCACAATACATGAGATGTCTCAGGATCATAGCTAGTAGAGGACAATAGTCTAGGCAGCCGCTACTAGGATGTATATGAAACACTTACTGGCAATAATTATGCTTTGATGTCACTATACTTATTTATCACAGAACAGCTCAAGAATTTTAGCTAAAAATGACGAAATTATCATCATTATTTGTATATTTGTGTGTGTGCCGACAAGCATAAATACAAGTTGCTTACGCCTACATAAAATTTATTTTTGCCTCACTTGTGACAGTTGGTTTGATATGAAACTATCATTCTATGTGTTATTATTCTAAGCATGTACTTAATTACCAACAATTATGTAATTCAAGGGTGCACACCATGGCATGGTCTTCATACCAAAAGTTCTTAGCATTGATGATGGTTGTAACTGGTTCCATAAACACACTTAGTACGAAATGGGCTGACAAGATCTCATCTGTTGGCACGGATGGCGTCAGTAGAGAATTTGATCATCCGTTCTTACAGGTAAATGGCATATTATCAATCCTTTCTTACATTTCAGATTTATGTACTTTTTGCTATAGTAAAACTTTAAAGCATTTATTTAGATTATTTAGTGTTAGACAAAAAATTGTACTAATTTAATCAATTGTCCTTGACAGGCTGCAGCAATGTTTTTGGGTGAAATGCTGTGTCTATTCACATTTAAAATCATCCATTGGAGAACTAGGAATACAGGAGGTCATCCCCTTACACAGGGCAATCAAAGCTTCAATCCCTTCATCCTAATGCCAGCTGCAATGTTTGACTTAGTAAGTACACAAGGTTTAACTGTTACTAGCCTAATAATAAGTTTCCTTTGGAGACCTGTCTGTTTGGCTTAAGAAGTGTCTTCTATTTACTTTAATATTCAACTCGATTAATCTGTTTCAGATAGGCACTTCAATTATGTACATTGGTTTAACATTAACATATGCGAGCAGTTTTCAAATGTTTCGTGGCTCAATCATCATATTTGTGGCTCTATTCTCCGTGATATTTCTAGGAAAACAAATCATCAGGAGAGAGTCTATTGGTATAGGTAAGAGCGCCTAGCATTGACATTTTTCCTATGTAAATGTATACGCTAAAAGTATGATTGCTTTAATGAAAAACTATTTAAATAATTTTTCTATATATGTAGGTAAAATACAAAAAGATTTTTTCTTTAAAGTTCCTGAGTGCAAAAATACCTCCATAAAAAGGCAAGACCATAGTATTTTATTAGAATGTGGTTATTTATTTTATTAATGTTTATTAAATTGGTTTAGTGGTGATCGATCACAAAAGATAAGTTGATGGGCGCAATGATGAGGGACAGCATTTGCCCCGAATGGAGCCACCCTAATAATAATATGCATTATTATTATTTTATACACTAGATAATATTGTTTTATACATTTAAGAGTCCCATTGCTGTAGAAAAATATTATTGTCAACTATTCCATTAAAGACCATAAATCTTATTAGAATAACCATATTACGATGCCAATGAATTATTACTGTAACGGTTGCGTATTCGCGCGTACTGTTCTGAATATCATCAACGCTACAGTTGTGGCTAGTGTTGAGAATATTTCAATGCGTCGTCCTTTATTTGTCTCAGTTTAATAATGAATAGAGAGATGTTTCCATGTAGCTTTCTTGCAACAATCACGTCATCCAAAACAATGTCAGTGGCTGCATAAGCAACTCAGTGAACGTACTGAATTGTTATCAAAACAACTTGCCGTCCGACCAAATGACCAAATGGCTCACAGATCAATTAGATCCTAATAATATGTACCTACAATTTTATCTGTCCAAGCGAGAACGAACTCTGCCCGCTATCTCAATAACATTCGCTTTGCATTTCGCCCCTAATTATAATTTGTTATTCGATGTTCAAGTAGTATTCTGTCTATAGTGTCCACCGCGATCGCCGCTATGTGCTGGTCGATGATTTTGTAGAAACAGAAAACAAACCCACTTTAAAAAGAAGTAAAGTTAAACGGAGGCCATATACACAAGTTTGCTATCCTAACCAAGTCATAAAAACGCGCCGAAATATCTAATACAAGTACTTATAGAACTTTAGCTGCATTGCAATGATTTTTCATCAACATAGAAATTGTAACTATTTTTAATTCGCTTATTGATAACTATAGATAAGAATGGATATTGTGCACGACTTGAAACTTCCGACGAAAACATTCTTGTCGACGGTACACTACTTATGTCATCATAAAAAGTGTAAAATAAACATACATATAATATTCATAGGTGTTATATTCGCCAATAAGATGGACATGTTTGGTTGTTGTAGGCACTTGTGCCTGTTTTGGAAGTCGTTGAGTATAAAATTGCAGACAAAGTAATTTAATACCTAACAAATATGAAACATTATGTTACGAGAATTTGAAACTATAATATCATAATCAATTTTAGTGACATAAAACACACTCAGGTTTTTCTGCAATTCAATTAATTATAATAATTAAATGTTGTGCTAAGTGCGAAAACCAGCTTCTTTGGTACACGTACTGCACGCACTGCACGCACTGCACGCACTGCAAACAAACTGAAACGAAACATTAATTGCACTTCACTTTGTGTGTATTAAAAGTTACAATAGCCCATTTTATGAGTAGCACTATTTTATAAGAACATAATGCGTTTGTTACTTATTTATTTTGCTACAAATCCAGTTATAATTTTTATTGAAAATACTAACGTCGGGTATACTTAACTTCATTATTTTTTTAATTTATTACAAACGCAACTCAAAAAGTGAGTGGGACGCCGACGAATTTGACCGCAGATATCTCGAGAATGGAGTATTTCATGTACACTAGTCTGTTAAAGTATTTTGTAAGAGCTAGCCTTACAAAATACATATAAGCTTAGACAAGTCCCTCCCTCCAAAGAGACGTGTAAAAATAACGGTGGGGTATTTTACATATCGGTTTATGGGATAACAACGTTTCAACACTTAATTGCATGACAATAATGACGGTGCATAAAAATAATACGGGCGACTATAAGGATCGTGACTAAAAGTCTCTGTGTTTGAACGACAAACGACGCAGCCTGCAAACTTCGTAATAATTATTATCTTTGTCAGTAGGCCTTATACAGGGTGTAATCGTTAAGTGTGCCCAGGCGATTATTTCATAAATATAAGAGATATCAAAAAGCTTTAAACTCACATCAAAAGTACGTTACCTTATGAGTAAATCAACATCAATAACTTTTTTTAAATAAAACAAGAAATATCCAAAATTTTAACATTAAACGTTACATTTAATGTGACATTTGTAGAGGCTTTAGTTTTCCTACTGTAAGAGGCGGTAATAAGTTAACAGATAACATAAATAATGGTAATGGCATAGCCAATTGTTTGGTCTTGTGTTTTCTAGTGCTGCTCCACTCAGTTTCCTTTAAGAATCATTTTAAGGAGGAAAAAAATCGGGACAACAGAATTTGGTGATAAAAAGTTCAAGTTTAATAAAAATTTTCATGCAAAACGAGTAACATTTTATTAAATTTAACCAACTTGTGCTAGTAAAACGTATTTTTCATACAAAGTGAATAACATTTTATTAAATTTAACCAACTTGTGATAATAAAACGTATTTTTCATACAAAATGAATAATATTTTATTAAAGAAAGATATGTGACATCCCGTGTATTTCGTGACCCAGCGTTTTTGACGACGTGCATTGTGATTCGTTATCAAAGCATCAAAATTGCTAATTGAGTACCAGCCTGTAAATGCTGGGGTTATAAATTGATATAGATTATGATTATTACATTGAATAGAATACAATAGGATAAGATAGGATAGAATACAATAGAATAGAATAGAATAGAATACGTTTCTTTGCCAGAATACAATAATGATAAAGGTCTTATATATAATAATAAAATTAGGTACATTGTATTCAACCTGCAAGCAGATGTACATATATGAATTTCATGTTTGTTTTCTACTGTTAATTGCACTTCAAATTAATGTAAATTTTTATTTAGAAATTCTAAATATTCTTTATTACTATAGAAGCTAATTTAATAAAAATAATAATAATAAAATAAAAATAAATAAAAAATAATAATAAATTATGTTCTTGCATTTATTCTAAAATACATTGCCTACAATTTCTTTATTACCGACTTCTACAAATATACAAAAATATATTGATAACTAGGAATAAACTAAAACGTAAAATTATACTAGCAAAGTCCATGAACGGCCTTTCGTTGATTTTATAATTATTAGGTCAGATTTCGCCATCCTTCTTTGACCAATTTCCGTCGTCCCGATTCTATTCTTCCAATACAATAAAATAATTTTTGTAAAAGACTGAGTATATCACCATTAAAAAAACATTACTCAATTTTATTCATTGAAACTGTATCTGTGGCAAAACTGACCGAACGGTTACCGTGCTAGTTTGCCACGCAGAGGTTTCGGGTTCGATTACCGGACCGGGAGAAATATTTGTATGGCCTTTATTTATTTATCTCGTAAGTTTGGGTGTAATTTGTAATTGTGTGTCCAAGGCGGGGTGCCTGCAACAAAGGGTTTCCTAGTGCTATGGGTGTGTCCGTTATTATATTTTGCATAAAAAACATTTCATGAAATTTGACCAACTTCTGCTGTCCCGATTTTGTACGTCTCATACAATTAAATAATCCTTACATGAAACTGAGTCGATCAGCATAAAATTAATTATCAATTTTATTCATTTTTATGGGCAACTTAAACTTGCCCAAATAAATGATTATGCCATCATATTTTTATTAAATTAAAAGACAATTTTACTACTTTATTTATATCAGTTTTGTTATCTGTTAACTTATTGTTAAGTACCTTTAAGGGCGCGTTCTCAATACGTCGTGACGACCGATGTCTAACGGTGTGGGTGCAGTTTAAAATGTCATAGCTTATTATATTTAAATGAAGTTGTTCCACATATCGCTCACGACTTTTTGACGTTAAGACGACAGTCTGTCGTGACAATAGGAAGTGCTAGAACGATAGTCGTCTGACGATAAATGAAACGTCACGATAAAAATGTGACAACAGATAATTGCGGCTGCAGTGAACCGATAAATTTTCATCACAATCTAGTAGGAACAGTTACACACGACAGTCATTGAACGATAAAATAATCGTCCACGACACAGTCACGACAGATAGTCGTGATATGGGAACGAGATAGACGCGACAGTCGTCCAATGATAAATAAAACGTTTCGACATAATGGGAACACGCCACACTTACAATAGGAAAACTAAAGCCTCTCTACGAATGTCATATTAAATTAAATGGGAGCGTTTAATGTAAAAATTTTGGATATTTCTAGTTTTATTGTTAAAAAGTTATTGATGTCTGTTTATTAATTAAGTAACGTATTTTGACATCGTACGTAACGTATTTTATGGAATAATCGCCTCGGTACACTTAACGATTACACCCTGTATATTTCAAAAATAGCTGGTTATAAAATGTAAACCTTTGTTGTGCGACCACCATACACGTACAAATTATATTGGCATTTGATTTAGTTAAGCTACGAATTTGGTTTGCAGCGAGCGTGATCTGTGGGCTGTTCATAGTGGGCATAACAGATTTCCTGTACCAGGCGCCGGGCGACTCGAAGGGGCGCAACAGCCTCATCACGGGGAACCTGCTCATCGTGCTGGCGCAGGTCGTCTCCGCCTGCCAGATGGTCTATGAAGAAAAATATGTAGCAGGTACATGAGCCCTTTGCAATAACGATCGATCAACCACTTCTCGCACATTGTTCTTCTTTTCACAGAGACTCATTTTGTTTTCATTTTTACTACTTATTAATTAAGTAACACGTCCGCTGTCGATCATTGTTTTAGTGGATAACTGCAATGGGTTAATGTGTATTCAGAAAGTGCTATTATGGCTGATATTCTCCCAAATAAAATGAAATAAGCTCTTTTAATAATATTATTTTCTTGTATATTTTTATTCTTCAGGTGATATATATTTTGATCCACAGGTCTAAACATCCCGTCGATGCAAGCTGTGGGGCTGGAGGGCGTGTTCGGGTTCTCGGTGCTGTCGGTGCTCTTGGTCGTGTTCTACTTCACCCCCGCGCCCCCGCACTTCGGACACAACCCCCGCGGGGTCGTCGAGGATGCTATCGACGGCTTAGTGCAGATTGGTATGACATTTTGCTGCGCACGTCACTGCCCAAGAAGATGACACGTTTTCATACAAAAATGACTGCGTTGAAGTGTCCAACCAAAAAACACACTTTTCTTACTTTTAATACTAATGGCTATTTATTATAATAGCACAGTAAAATATAATAAGCTCGACCTGTCTTGAGCAAAATTTGTATGCAGATTTTTGTATGAAAAATGAATAAGCACTAGAAATCGTCAAATTATCAAATTATTCCATGTTCATTGGTTATATGAAATATATAATAGTTCGCCGAAACACCCTGAAAGATCTGATCATATCAACAAATGCAAATGGACCACTGCCAGTATTTTTTGGCATCCACCTAAACAGAATAATATATAACGGGTAAAGAATAATATATAAAGGCGTAAAAGTACGTTGTTCAAAAACATCAGGGATAAGTGTATGCTTGCCTCTTCAAGTAATTTGCTGACTAATTTACTGCGTGTTAAATTGCGCAAATATACTGAAGTAGATATATGAAGGGCACTGCTCAACCCTACTGTGCACCCTGCACAGGCCACGGAACGTACTGGGCCAGTGTTGGTTGGGGACTTGACTCGTCCTCCCTTTCTCGGCGTGGAGGTCATCAACATGATTTCCGTTGAAGTGCTAATTAGTTGAAACTGAAGCACTCTGTAATATTGTATTATTATAATAAACTTGGTGTTTGAACAATGGTTTTTGTGCTAAACCGCAGGCAATAGCCCTTTGCTGATGGTCGCCATAATGGGCACAGTGGTGTCCATCGCGTTCTACAACTTCGCCGGCATCAGCGTCACCAAGGAAATGTCTGCCACCACCAGAATGGTCCTGGATTCGATCAGGTACTCACTGCCATCCATCGTTCACACCAACAAATACCACGTGACAATTATTTATTTTCTCATCCGTAGGTTGACCGTGGTTTAGCAGAGCCAGTAACAATCCCTACGCACTAATATGTAATAGGCACACGAAACGATTGTGTTAGAAGGTGTTCCAATATAAATGAAGTTTTGTAATTTTAGTGGCACATTAATATAACAGCTTTTATTAATTTACAATTAATTCACACGCAAAATAGGCGCCTAGCGCGTTACACCATACATTCCCATGTATCCATAAATTAATAAAAACTGTTAAATTCATCTCCCACTGCCACAATCGTGATACCATGCTAGGTGGTCATGGTCTGCGTACGATAATCTTGTAAATTGAATTACAGAAGTCCATAGTTGGGGAAGAAATGTTAGGTTATTTTCAAATAAATGTAAAATATACATTTTTAAAGACGAACCCTTAAAAGCTTTTGCTGTTTTTATCAGAGGAACCTGCGTTACGGATGAGTAGTAATGTTTTATCAATTTCACGATTTCGAGTGTAATAATCAAACACAAGTTATTTCTAAGCATAATGTTTTAACATAGTTTCGTCGTTTTCTATAAAAACACCTTTGTCGTATTCAGTAGACATCCAACTCACATTTTTCATCATATATATTATATATAATACGATAATGATATTATCTCCACGCCATCGAAGTGCCCAAGACAAATTTCGTACTATGATGTTGTTATGCATATACTAGTGCGTATGTACGCACGTAACTAGACCGGGCTAAGGCGGACTAACAGCGGGCTCCGTGTACTTCCATGGTTACTAACTACCTACTATTGTATAATGATTGTGGAATTAAGGTTGTACGGGTAATATGTTACATGGGAGATCGGCAGGTTCAAATAAATATTAAATGGCCAAGAATTACCAACTACACTCGCTTTTGAGAAGCATTGAAACGTCCCTGATCAATTTTTCTCTCTGTTTTATATTTTAGTGTGATACTAGTTTTAGTGAAAAAGAAAACATATTAATATATATTACATACCGTGATGTTCTACTATTATGATATTCATATAATTAATTATGTTTTTTGAAAATTCTCTACACAAAACAAACTAGTGGAGTAATTTCACAAAAAATAATTCAATATCATTGCGATATTCTTCTATTCAATAAACTTAATATTAAATTAAATATCGTTTGTTATAATTTACACTATGCACTTGCTGGCATAAAACTGAATAAGGGTACATGTGATGGTATTATTATTATTTTGACTTATAAACAAACACTATACATAAACAACATCACATACGTTGCTAAACTAAAGCGCTCGTGCTGTGGGAATTGGAAAGAAGGACGATACCACAAGCACCTCTCGGGTGTACCCGAGACAACATAGAAAAGTTAGTTCTCTACATTGACTCGGCCTCAGAGATGGCGGCGCCATGAAAACCGGTGGGCAAGCCACTCGACCACGGAGGTTGTCGACTTATACTATAAAAGATGTAATAAATAGTGTGCTCTCTTATACAGTGCAATGCCCCGGCGGGGTGCTACACGTCTAATAAAAGACACAGACACACAAACAGGTGTAAGACGACCATGCGGTAATGCAATATATATGAATTTTTTTATTTTTTTATTCTAATGTAAAAGCGCATTTGACCTCCATCTCACCTGATGGAAAGTGACGACGAGGTCGACGATGGAGCATGCACGCCAAAATAATGCCTATTCACTCTCGCCTTGAAAAGACCCAAGTTATAACGTTTAGGGAACAAATCTGCAGGCAGGGAATTCCACTCCATAGCCGTTCGCCATATAAATGTGGAAGCGTAACGCTTCGTGCGAATCTTTGGAATATCCAGAACATAGAGGTGGAACCCAAGCCTACGCCTAGTCCCCCGGAGATGGAAAGGGAAAGGCGGAATTAAATCGTGTAATTCCATCGCACACTCTCCGTGATATATCCTGTAAAATACCGATAAGCAGGCAACTTTACGGCGGTGTTCAAGGCTCTGCAGCTTCGCCTCCACTAACTCCGAGTCACCTGTAAGCCTCTTGGCATGGTTGTCAATTGAATCCAAAGTTGGCCCGTTGATATGTAGCAAAGCCATCCCAAAGGTGTGCAGCAGTACTCCATGCACGACCGGACTTGTGCTTGATACGGCTGAAGCAACTGTCCCGGTGTAAAATAACGCCTCACCCAGGAAAGGATGCTAAGCTTCCTGGCTGCATTTTTGGCCATGGATTCAATGTATCTGCCGAAGTTCAAATTGGACGACAGGTCCATTTCAAGTAGCTGGTGACAGTCGGCTATCGGTACGGATTTATCACGAAAAGTCGGGAGTCAGCTCAAAGGGACTCGGCTTTGTGGAGAATAGACACGCCTGCGTTTTGGTAGCGTTAAATTTGTCAAGATTGGCATTGCCCCAATCGGAGATTGCCTGGAGTGTCAAATCTAAACGGCTAAACATAGATTCTCGACAAGACTGGATTTCCTCTCCACTGACCCTTGCATTGGTCAAGTACCTATCTACAACAGTGCTGTCATCAGCATTACGCAAAGGTACCTGGAATTAACATACCATTGATATGCAGCAGAAAGAGAGTTGCAGACAGTACGGAACCCTGAGGAACTCCGCCATCTACTTATCGCCATATGTTCGGAAGAGTAGCCTTCTAAGACCACCCGAATCGAACGTTCGCTCAAGAAATCCAAGATCCAATTGTAAAGGTCAGTGGGAAGTCCATAAGAGGGAAGCTTACTTAAAAGGCTTGCGTGCCAGACCCTGTCATAGGCTTTATAATGAGAATTAGAATGTCCAAAGACACTGCAAGTGCCTCGCCTTGCTTTTCTATAGCCTCGCTCCATATGTGACAGGCATACACAAGAAGATCCCCAGTAGATCGCCCTCGTCGGAATCCGTACTGGCGATCACTGAGATCAAGGTACGATAGGAGACGGTTGTTGAGTACACGTTCGTTCCATAGTCTTGCAGAGTATGGAAGTGACTGAGATAGATCTGCAATTGACAGGGTCAGCTCTGCTACCTATTTTCGGCACAGGTTGCAAGTTTGCAAGCTTCCACGACCTGGGACCTACACCAGTCTCAAGTTAGGGCCGGTACATGCGTATGTGAACAGGAGACAGCTCAGGCGCATATAAATATAGCCCTGGAATATATAAATATTGTCTTGTTTGCAGGACATTGGTAATCTGGACGGTGTCACTCGGTGTGAAGTGGCAAGCGTTCCACTGGCAACACCTCGTCGGGTTCGGGGTGCTGATCTTCGGCACGTGCGCGTACAACGGCGTGATTCCGCCGCCACGTTGCTGGCCCCGTCGCGCGGGAGCGCCGCCTGCGCACGACGAGGAGGCAATCCAGGTCGCGAACGACGACGCCACAGAGACCGATTAGAGTAACGATGGTGCTGCTACATTTCAAATAATACTTTACGGCTAGGGATCTCTGTAAGCGTAATTACGCAACAAAATGACGTTAAGAAATTTTAACCATTTTATTACTAAAACTACGGGCAACTTTTCCGCTTTTTTCTCTCTTTAATTTTCCTTCATTTTCTCTAATGAAGAAATTCATATGAATATTTGAATTTATTCAAAAATGGAATAAGATTTTAAATTCGCTCTTTATAAAAATAGCAGTTCCATTCAATAAACTACAGTGAGAAATGCCTTACAAGCAAGCCCGCGTACATGAAACGCGACGGAGACGTCATCGCCGTTAGAAGTTGTTTATCCCATGTACATACGATAGCCAAGCACCAAAAACAAAAAATGCAAACATTTGACTTCCATAGACGCCTGTAGTCTTATGCTCTGGCATCAGAGCACATTGAACCATTTGAAAAACCGTGTAAGCGAGGAAAGTACCCAATATTTATAGGAAACGTGCGAATTACAGAATTCGGAGTCAATAAACCATCTTTATGTGTACGGAAGAAAGGAGAACTCGGAATAAAATAAGTAAAGCAGAGTTAGTTTTATTAGCTAAAGGGCCATCGTTTTAAAAGTGGAGCGGAGAAAAGCTGTGTTCCAGCAAACAATAGCGTTTCGGAAGTTTTCAAAATTCTAATAAATGTTTACACCCTCGTCCACATCTCCACTTGTAGCCAAGTGTAAGTAAAAAAAAAATGTTGTTAGTCGACTTACCGCTCCGCTTTAGCAGAAAGTGGGCCTAAAAATTCCGCAACATGGCGGTGGTCGAAATCGATTGAACAACCTTTATGTGACGTGCTAAATAATCCATTCGTTTTAAAATTAGTTCTTAAATGGATTACATGATGTTACGTATAAGCGGCAGCAACTGGGCCACTTGCGCCGCTTCATTACTTAATGCCTGCGTGGCGAGATATTCTATACACTGTATAAGCGATTACGTACATTTCTTGATATACCTGTGATAGTTTATGAATAAAATCCTACTCTCCCAATAAGCTAAATTTATCGAAAGTTAGGGACGCTGTGGAGGTTGACGAAATGTGTGGCAGAAAAGGCTCTGGCCATTATTACGAACAAACACAAACGCCACACCCTTTGCGCTGATCATGACTGGATTTGTAAAGCCAGCAACACTATTCTCCAAATTGTTTTAAATATATTCAGACTTTTCTATGTTCGTAAACATATTATTATGTAAATAAATAATTACAACGAACGTTATTCATATTTGAGAATAGAATCATTCTAATCGTGTTACGTTTAAATAAAGCCCGCGAGCAGACGTGTGGCGTAGTATACGGACTGATCCAGGTAGCCGGTGGGGCGCCTTTATTCGACACGAATTTCATCCCGCGGAGACCGCGTGCCTGTCACCTGTCACCTGACTTTATTTAGTTTTTAACTTGGTGTACGCGGCGGTGTACGCGAACACTTTCGCGTCGTGTAACTGGGCGCTTAGGCTTCATCACTACTTGAAATTGTGCCAAGTATTCTGTCAACAGCCACGACGGTTCAACCAAATAAGTGAAACCTAATTTGAATTGCAGTCTTTTTGTTATTAGTGAATTGCGATATGAATTGTGACTGATTTGCGTGTTACTAAATTACTCTATAATTTAATATAATATACATATTATGAAATCTATTAAATATATGTCCAATTATGTACAACATACGTATTTTGTTTGGCATCGCCCTGTTCGTCATCTTCACTCCACGTTTTCCGTGTACACTACTTACACTACGCAATGCAATAAACGTGGGTAGAGGAACTGCAGCACTACATTTGTACTGATGATGCAGCCTTCTGACGCCCCTTATTCCAAAGGACCACGGTCGAATTATTGAAATTGAATTAGTCGGGTAACAAAACTAGATTTAGTCGGCCCGCACTCTTTAAAAGTTATTATTATATAAAGCTACAAGTTCTGATAAATAGAACGCAAATAAATAAGATATACGCCGTATAAATTTCCAAGTCGTCTATCACGGAAACTATTACAGATAGGCAGCACGTGCTGGAAGGAATATCATAGAGGGTGACTGACAGTGGTCAACTGCCTGTGTCAAAAACATTTCAAAATGGCGATTTCTAAATGGTGGTCCAAAAAAACCTTGCTTTGACAATTTGCTCAAAATTGGCAAGTCTTCGGTCACGTTCAGTCATCATTTGGAGTGAGTGAAATATAGATTGTTTGTGTACACTTATTTACGTATAGGTGCGTTAATGAACTTAAATTATGCTTGTGAATAATTGTTTTGATGTCTTAGCGGCAAATACAATTTATGTATGTACGACGGGCGGCGACTACAGGTATCACAAAAGACAAATGGATGGATCGTGACGAGCTTCGTTCTGTCCGTTTCTTCAACTTTACTTTCCTCTGGATATCTGTCTCTATGGTTGTTAATGTGTAACACGGATTGAGGTATTGTATGTATTGCAGTCCGGTTTTCGTGAAATATCAGGAGGGACCACGATGGGAAAAAGTAGAAGCCAACTGTGGGACTGCAAATCACTTTTTTGTATAATACTTGTGATCATTGTGTATAATTAAGTACCTCAATCATATTAATAATGATTGCTACAAAAAGTATTTAAAATTTATACAGACATTAAATAATAAGATATTTCAATTGCTGGTGAAATTACAGGCGCATGGCACTCGTCAACTTATGTCTCAGGGTGACGGACGCAGTGGCAGCGCTTTGTCTTTTTGGTGGAACTCCTTTCCCTTCCTTCTAGTCGTAAGAAACTAGATTTCCAGGTTATGCGGTTTTGAAGTTCAAAATAAGCTTATTCCTGTTGAATCTCGAGAACCACATTTTATTTTTTAAATGACAGGCAGCTGTTACGCAATATACGTGTGTAGGCTCCGAGACTGCATGACTTTGAGATAACCAATCAGTTGTATCTTCTAAACAAAGAAGCTAATTCTAATATTTTGCGCCTAGAACTGACAATTCTTTGGTGCAATCAGATCAAGATTGCGGAATGGTGCTGCCGGTATAAGCTTATTCCAATTTGAACAGTAAAACGCTCGTTATAACTTTTGGACGGCGAACAGACTAAATCTACATCTTTGCGACTAGAACCGACTAAGTGACGACCTTTTGCCTAAGTATTTAATCAAATTGTAAAAATTCGACCGTACTTCGATGGTCACGCTGGAATAAGGAACGCAGCCCTCTGGAAGTCTTCTTAGGCGCAATTTACATTGCGGCGGAACGGAAGCGTTAACTTCGCTGGAATGCTCGAGCATTCGCGGGAATTTCCATCTCACGACTGCGCGTTGAGGCTGTAGTTTGGCGTTACACTGCGCCTGCCTTCGCACCACTTTCCGCGCAGTCGCCAGGCGTCGTCGCCAACAGCATCTGCGGGATTCCTGCGAATGCGTGAGCTTTCTCGAGCATGCGTGTGAATTCCGCGGAAGACGCGCGACTTGATTTTTGGCTCGTATCTAGTTTGTACTTTACACAACTGACCATAAATTAAGCTATGTACAAAACCGTTACAATAATTCGCTTCCTTTCCGTTCCGCCGCAATATAAATTGAGCCTTATTACGTGTTCTGTGCTCTTGGATAGTGAAACAGGTGCAGTACCGGCATCAATATTCACCGCTACGACGTTTAAAAGTTTGCAGCACAACAAAGGTTTTGCATGCATGCAGTGATCAGGTAAGATACTTATAACTTCAAAGAAGAATTTAAAACTGAAACGAATACATGTAAAATTGCCTTTAATAACTCTCTTTACACAGTGATAACTTAAATGACGTCATCCTGGCTTCGATGGCTCGCCTTTTGGTTTTTCTCCGATCGCTGCAAAGTTACAAACTCCTAAGATGATAACCGGTACGGGTTGTTGATAATACTTGATTTCGGGCATGTATATAGAAAAATAATTCTTACGTAAAGGATTGCCTTCCGTCCAAAAGATAAATTTTAAGTGAGAGACGTCGCGCTTCGAGGCCTCTTCCCGCAAGTTCGATTTGAGGGACTTCCGTAGCACACGTGCCGCGATTGTCGAGTAGTGCACGTATCTGAAACGACACAGCTTAGCCAGGTCCACATTCCATTTTTTGTACCATTCAGTCCTGACATATTTCAAAGAATAAATAAATATTATTACACGTGGTGAATATGAACTTCACTCTTACATTTTTCACCTTGATTTTTGGGATTTTGAATAATTAGCATTGGCGACTCTGCAAATCGGAGGGAAGAATCGGGCGTGTATTTCGTCTCCTCGCAAAAGTATAGAGAGAGAGCGCCTTCAGACGATCGGATCGGCAATAAAGTCGGACGCTATTTCCGACTCGGACGTCCGATCCGATTATCGGATCGAACGTGTATTGAGTGTTCAAACAAATATATGGTACGAATTGTAATATGATGTACGAATCCGACTATCAGCTGGAAAAGTCGGACGTGTATTCCCGCACTTAAACTATACTGTCAACTCCTCTACACGTGTATTCTATGGGCCAGCGTTAGGCTGCCTTTCCACCAGCGATGGGCGAGGCGCTACCTCGGTGGTGCGGGGATGTGTAGCGGCGCTGTGAAACGGTGTCATGTTTTCCACCAAAACTGTGCGAGGATGTACAGCGACGCGGTGCGAGGATGCGTTATGCGCGCGCGGGGTACGAAGTGGGGAGGTGAGCGGTGGCGATGTGACAGTGTCAGTTAGTGTAATACTTTCGGTAGCTCTAGTTTCCTACACCATTTTGCACACATTCCTCTCCCGCATCCCTCGCACACATCTCTCGCTATTTTGTGTGTACAAATACTTAGCTCCGCTAACCCTATTCCACAGCTGCGCTAAGCGAGGCCAGGAAAATGAAGTAATCCTATTGGTGGATTTTTTCCTCGCGCACCGCCTCGCTACGTCGCACATCTCTGGTGGAAAGGCAGCCTTTCGTGCAGGTCAAGCCAGTTTATCAAAGTCCTTCCAATGGCTTCCGGACGCTTATGTTTTTATGGACTGAAATAGATATAAGCATTCCCTTGTTACTACCATTTGGCCACTGTAGTTTGCTTTTAAATAAATAAATGAAAATAGTCGCGAAATTTTAAACTAACAGCAAGGAAATCGATCTGTTGGTTTTCTCTGCGAAAATTCCACATGTTGAAGATCCTCTAAAATATTCCTCTCTAACACAACTATATAGTATGTAAATACTTCGTTTCACCCCATGCACGTAGTGGCGGGTCTCGTCAATAATCACTTGGAATGAGCTAAACAAAATCACACTACCTTCTCACTCCCAACACAGAGAACACAGAGGCGGTTGGGGAAGGGTCGAGGGAGTCCTGGGACTCCTAAGACACCGGTGGAAGCTGAGATTTAAACAACAATCGGTCATTAATTAATACTAGGCAACAAACATTAGGCTTGCTCACGAAAGTCCGGCCGATCTCCAAGTGCTCATTTTTATTGCATGTCCGCGAAGTGTCCTTGCTCTAACTACATTAAAGTTTTAATAAATCTGCAAAGTGCAATAAAACACGCAGTCAAACAATATTTTTGGTGCAATTTTGATGAATCCAAACACTAGAACGCAGTGAATGTGAACGAGAATGTTATTATTACGCGCCCACTTTTTCGACGTATGTTATTATTTCCCTAATGGCGGCCACTAGGCTTAGGCCGGTGTCACTTTAGATTAATGTTGTCACTTAATATTGCTCAATAACGTCAACGTTTCGGTGTATACTTTTATTTTTTTCCATCCTCTAAGGGTGTATAGCAGCAAGGTGTTGTCATTCCGACACCAAAAACTGTCGTATTGACAGCTATTGACAATGTTTTAACCTGTTGATGTTTATCAAGAAGCATTAACGACGGAGCCATAGATACAAAAGTTGAAGAAGCATTAAATTCTTGTAGATATGCGATATTACATACAACTCGACTGGAGAATAACGGCAATCTCGAAATGGGAGACAATCAAGACTTTTTTGTAATACTAAGTGACGGGGCAAACAAGTCGTGCGCCTGTTGGTAAGCAACACGCCTGTCCGTAACAGTTGCAGTGCCACTCAGAGCTTTAAATTGCAAAGTTCTGAGGGGCACTACCACTGCCCCGTCACCCTGAGACAAGTTGACAAATCCCATGTGCCTGTAATTTCACCAGCACCCTTACCCTTCAAAACAGAAGGCGGCAGAAACAGGTAAGGTGGCAGTACTACCCTGGACGAACTCTTTCACAAGGCGCTATACTTACTTTACGTATGTTAAGTTGTTTATTTTACGGTAGAGATAAGCAATATTTTGTAACATAATAAGCTAAAGAAATA